TTTAGGGGTGGGGGGGGGGGGGGGGAGTGGGGAACTCGCATAGGTGTTCCCACCCACGCTTGCAGGTATGCATGAGGAAATCCCTTGCAGAGCACAGGGTGCGTGTCTGCAAGCAGGGAACCCCCACTTGCAGACATGTAAACCAAAGGCCCAACTTTCCCTGCTTATTCAGATGCCTCCATAAAAAGAAGTGTTTATGGTGGCGCAAAGGTGACATCTGGTGTTTATGGTGGCACTGACAGCTGATGTCCCTTCTTCACTCTATCTGATGGTTTGGGTACATTATAAGATTTGGACCACAATCCCTTAGGCAACTAAGGCATGTGAAACTTTTAACTCTGTAGCTTTAAGGCAGCCTCCTATTATTCACCTTTTTTATTATTGTCCCTTTCTTCTGTTTGATTTCTTGTTTGTCTTTCTACATTTGGAGTGTCAGGTATCTATTAGCTGTCCTTCTTAAATCTCACACTGCTGCAAGGGAGACTGTAAGTGCCATTTGATCAGAAGAGCAAAACTTGCAGGCTGGGTATCTGGGTGATAGTTTTGCTAGTTTTATTCACTGTTTTTCTTGTTCTTTATGTTCCTTGCATTAAAAAGCTCCGTATCCCAGGTGTGAAGCACTGGTGATGTTGGAGAGAGAAAAAATAAAATGCACATGATAAATGTTAGTTATATTGCTTAATACATTTCTGGAAGGTGTTCATATACTGCAGCTAGGCTGGTACACAGACCTATGGAGAATGAAATAGACTTAGAATTCTACATTTGATTGTTTTTAAATGGATGATTGGATAATTATGTTCTTTGTGGTTTTTATCCCTGTTTGTAGCATGCTTCTTTTAAATTACCTGGGCAAAACTGGTAGAGAAACTCCTTTGATGGCAGCCACAGTTTTCTCTCCAGGTTGGAATATTTTTGCATCTGTAGAATCACTTGAGAAACGACTGAACTGGTTTCTTTTTAACTACTACTTGACTACTTGTCTACAGTCCTCCGTTAGTAGGTGAGTCAATTTCTTGAACTCCTTAGACGGAAAAATGTTAGCTTGGAATTTATGCGAGATAAAATGTTGAAAATTAAATTGCTATTATAGCATTTCACCTAACCTTTCTTGTCTGTGTATCCATTATTGAAAGTTCTAAAGTATATTGTTAGGAAGATTTTCCTCATCAAATTCACTTCTATGTAAAGAACCAGGCCAAGGTTTATCTACCACTTGAGTCTTCAAAATGGAGATTAAGTGGATTTAAAATGGATAGACGGGTTTGTGCTGACTCTCTTTACAAGAGTATAGTTTATCTTCTATACATGTTGGCTCATGTATGGCTACTCAAGAGTTGGATAGATGGCATCTATTTGATTTTCTTTAAAATCTCATTGAGTTTGTGGGATACATATGTACTAATTTAATAAATGTGTCCAATTTGAAAACACAGGAAAGAGTTACTTCTGTTGTTTAAAACAAAACAACCCCAAGAGTATATATTCCTAAAAATACAGTTCTCCTTTTTGACATTGGTGTATTTCTCATGATTAATGCAGACATCAAGCAATTTTCTTCATGTATTTATATGTGAGTGAAAAGTGCTTATCATCCTGGACAGACTCTTTTTTTTGGAGACATAAAAATAAAAACCATACTTTCTTACTCATAGAATTTATTTCTAGGTATATCTTTGTAAGAGAGAGTACTTCTACATCTGTTAAAATACTTTCTCTTGTTTTCAGACATCGAAAAATGTTGGAAAAATTATTTGATTTGGACCTGGTCATGAAGGTACGTGAATAAGAAGTATATTTTGGTTTCATGCTTCATTTCCTGTTGCTGATGTAATTCCATATTTGATTTGTGTACTTCAGGCTAAAACCATTAGGGAGTTTGATAAGCAATTTACCTCAGTCATGTTTGGCTACCCTACAATTGAGGATTACTACGAAGATGCAAGCCCATATCACAAGTTGAAGTCAGTAGGAATTCCACTGCTGTGTCTGAACTCTGTGGATGATGTTTTCTCACCAGGCCATGGTAAATTAATGCTTTCTTGTATGTTTCTCTATATATGTAGTCAGTTTGATAGAAACTATACTGATTTAAGGACAGGTCATATATGTGAGGTTGTGTCTAAGAATTGTATCTGTTGGCATTTTGCTGTACATTATTCTTGCTATTTACTTCCAATTTTCCACTCAGAACTTGAAGTTCTTAGAGGCTCTTTACAACTAATACAAAGTACATAAAAACTAATGATTCTATTGATCAGAATTATTTGAAGCCTGTCCTGCGGGGGAAAACCCCAAAACTTTTGTTCTTGGATTAGATCGTGTTTCAGGGTACTTGAACTCCTCAGTAGCCATGACAGCCAGTGACCTCTGTGACATAAAACTCCAGTGACTAAATGCAAAATTATTTGGTTTTACCCAGATAATTGAAAATGAGATACTGCAAGAATCTCATTTTGAATCTAACATGGTATTGTCATGGATCATGCCCCTTTCAGGAAAAGCTCTGCCACATGATTCTCCATGGAGAAGCCTTATTTGGTCTCCCACTCCTGAAGGACCCCCTGAAGCCAGCCCTCATGTGGTTTCATGAGGGGCAAGGTTCCAGCTTGGAGACCCTGGCTTTTTTCTGCCTCTGGTTTCTCCAGTGATCTTCAGCACCCCCACAATGGAGAACTCCTTAGTCAGCTCCCAGGAAAGGGGGGTGTTCTCTTCTTCAAGGAGTGGGGGAGAGAATGGGTGGAATCAGGTCAGAGTGCTGACATCCCAAACAGTACAGCAGACTGCTTAGCACCAGACTGTCTTTATTGGCCCACTCTGTCCTCCCTGGGACTTTCCCTCTACTCTGTCCCCCTTGAGACTTTCTCTCCCCAGTTTTCTCCATTCTTTTTCAGGCACAGTCAGCCAGTCTCATAATAATACTGTTACAAAAGTATAGTTTTAGCCTGGGGACTGACACTTACCCAATCAAATGAAATGGGGGAACCAACTGGGGACTTGTTTCTTCAGCCTGCTGCCAGGCACAGGCTGCTATCTCCCCCTGGGGTGAAAAGGACATTCAGTCTTACAAAACTACGTATAGCAAGGATTTATAGCAAAGCATGCTCATGCTGAGCCTCCCCTTCCCCCAAAGTGTTCCCCACCAAACTCTCAGGCTAGAACTCAGCCCACTTACCCTCTTTGATCACATCTTTTCCTCCTTCAAAAATTGAACTGACCTGGATCATTTTAACAGTGATCAAGGAAAACTCAGCTTCTCCCATCTCCCCCCAGCTTTTTTTTTTTTTTTTTTTTTTTGCGACAAGCCCTGGAAAGCCTTTAGGACCCAGTAATCCTGTGATGCCTAGGTGTCCTGGGCTACCAAATGCTCCAGAAAAAATGCACGCTAATGTGCTACCTCCCTCTGTTGAAGACTTTTTTACTAATCTTCTCTCTGAAGCAGCAGTCACCTGAAAGACCTGGCAGTCCAGCTGAAGCCACCAGGCCTCCTGGCAGTAGGACACCCACTGGAGCTCTTCAGTCTAGGTCTGCCAAGACTTCCTGGTAGACATTGAAGATGTTTGTATCCCCTTTGACCCATAACTCCAAGTGGCCCCCATTGTACAGATACTGACTTTTCCAGGCGCACTTGCCCATGTTGCCTCTGGTAGCTGTTGAAGATATGACAAGCTAGGCAATCCCAGTGGTCCTGGCATACCTGGGAAGCCTTCACTCCTTGGAGTCCCCCGTAATCTTAAGTATTGTCTTGTCTGGGCCGCCAATTCACCCTTCAGGCTTGGAATTCTCATGAGGCCTACTCAATCCTGATCAAACAGTGTAACCACTGCCACACCGTGAAAGCCTGGCAAGCTGTCAATCCCTTCATCGCCTTCAGGATCTTGGATTCCTAGAGCCCCAGGGTCTCCAGGGAAACCCAAAATGACTGCACCACCTTCAAGACAAACAAGACCACACAATCCACTCTTCAGTTCTGCTCTGTCAAGCACAGGAAAACTTGGGATCCCTAAAGGACCCTTGGAATTCTCCTTGGAATTCCTTTTCCTGAAATACTTCAGTCACCCTTGATGTTAGGTGCCCCTGGTATTCCATCATAAAGTGGTGCACCTTTCTCTCTACTGGCACGGGTAGGACCTTGTGGGCCACGGTCACCTTGTCCTTGTTGTCCTGCACCAGGAAGCAGTCACAGGGCTGCTCAGCATAAAAAAGGGACTGTTACCAGCTCCTGTTGCTGCTGCTGCCTTGGCAATGCCGCGCACGCAGCAAGGACCTGAGTGCTTGGGATGCTGCAGAGGTGTTGGGCTGTGTACAAGTGGGGTAAGGCTCCATGCAAGGGACATTCTGCTCCACTGGGCACCAGGCACCTTTGCAAAAGCAGCTTTTTCTCCAGCAGCTGCGGGAGCTCAGGTGTGCAGGTCCTGCCAGCACTGAGGCAGCAGTAGGCTCTGGGGCTCTAAGTGCACATGGCACTGCTGTCCTCATGAAGGTCTTCCCCACCTGTCCAGGATGGCATTATGGACTGCATGGGGAGTGAGGCTGCAGGTAGAAGCCGTGGGCGAGGGGGTGACGTGTGTGGAAACAAGGCAGTTACCGCCTTCCCCATCGAGGTCTGGAGCAGACCGGAGGCGTGTGTGTGTATGTGTGAAATGCAAAACAAACAAAAAAAAGGGTTTACATCAGTAGTTTAAAATGCCCTGCACTATTACTAAATGTTGGTTATTGCAGGGGTTTTCAACCTTTTTTAAAGGAGTGTACCCCTTTCGGTGGCAGCATCCAGATGGGGGGAGGGGGTGCATGCGGCCACCACTGTTGCCACCCACCAACCCGTGCCACCACTGCACCCTGCTTTCCCACAGCTGGTTGCATGTGCGGCTCTACAGGCTGCTGATGGGCCTCGCACCTGGCCAGTTGTGCGCCGCCAATCAGCAGCCCACAGAGCTGCATGTGGGACTGGCTGTGGGAAAGTGGCATGGGGCAGTGGATGGCAGCAGTGGCCACCACATGCAAGCTCCTTCCCCTCTCTCCTGTGTCTGGCTGGCCAGGCGGTGCCTGTGTGGCCCACAGAGGGGCACTGCTGCCCTCGTTCCCCTGGCCCTGCTCCTGGGAGGCGGTGGCACGGTGATGGGTGGTGGCGTGCCATCCCCCACCTGCCTGCACATGCTCCCTAGGACAAGCATGGGGCAAAATACAGCCTGCGGGCCGGATCTGGCCCTTCAGGCCATCCTATCCATGGTCACCTAAAAAGTTTAGAAAATTTAATGTTTATCTGCTCCTGACTGCCTGTCAAAGATGACAGGATCTAGGGTGGGGGGCAGTAGGACCTCAGGGAACCCGGCAGGACAAGGGAGCAAGGCCAGCCTGGACCTGCCCCCCAGCTCTGTCCCACCCTCACCCCACTAACCAGAAGCCTCTGCTGGCCCCGGTTGTTACTACTTTCCTGCATGCCTGTTTCAGTACCATGTGGCCCCAGGCTGCATCACTGGACCATGGGAGCATGGGGCCATGCCAATACCCTGAAGTCAGAAGCAGGAGGGAGGGGTGTGTGTATTTATAGGGTGAGTACCACAAGCACACCCCACTATACACATGCACCCACGCGCCCCCTTGCACTGCCATACACACAGACACCCACATGCTCCCTTACCCCACATACCCAGACACTTGCAACCCCCACAAACGTATACCCACCCCCCAATGCCTCCCACCCCTCCACAGCATACAAGAGTAAGACTTCATTTCAAGCTACTATGCAGTCACCTCTATGTACACACAAACGCATGTAAATCGAGACAAAAATATTTTTTGAAATCAAATTAATGAATGTTGTAGATGTTTGAGTTTTAGAATATAATTTGGTATTTTTCTGGTTCTGAGATGGCAAAACCCCTTGCTGAAAGGACTATTTCCGGGGGCAAAGGGAGGGACTTCTGGTGGTAAAGGTCAGGGGTTAGAGGGTGGAACTTATGGTCCCAAGATGGTGAGCAGGGAATGGGGCACCTGTCAAAGGGCAGTGTCCATGTGGCCCTCAACAGCTTGCCAAAACTTGGTAAGCATCCCTGTCCCTGAAATAATAATTGTCCGCCTCTGCCTTAGGACCTTTCTAAGTACCCCTAGGGGTATACATACCCCCAATTGGCAACGCCTGGGTCATTGGATTTGCATCAGCCAATATGGTTGTTTAATCATTGGCTATCAGTATCGGCCAAAAAATCTTAATCGGTGCACCCCTAGTAAAAAGCCCAACAAATAATCCCTCTAGCCAGTTATTTTAAACTTGTGTGTTGGATGGCAGACATTTCAGGTTAGGATAAAAAAAACAACCACCGCTACTTGCCCTTTCTTCCCATGAGAAGCCATATCTTTTTTGTGTCATCAGCCTGCATGTCATTTTCTGGCTAACAGCATAGCCATGTGAATGGAGTGACTTGGCTTTTTTGCTGGGGACATGTTTCTTCACTGTGAGAAGTTAAATCAGCAAAAATCACAGTGCACCAGAAGGAGGAGGTCATTAATTACAGCTGTTGACATCAGTTATGTCACTGGAGCTCATCTCTGTTGGCATTTTGGTAGCAGCTGCATGTTAGTTAATGGTGTATGTTGTTTAGAGAGGTGATATTGTTCTGGCAACAGAAAGACTGAGGCTTGCTGGCTTATAAAATACATGTGTGAACCCATAAGCCCGTGGTGACAAGGCAATGTCTGTTGACAAAACTTTGTAGTGGAGACCAGGCCTGAGACCTACAGTGGAATACTGGTTTCACTTTACAAGCTCAAATAGCAGTTACCACGTGTTTTTAGCACTTATATGCAATGTGTGATCGTATCCTGCAGGCATTGTGGACATGCATTCATCCTCACAGCTAGTAAGCATGCACTCTGGCAGGGCAGAGTGTATGTTCAGTAGCTGTGTGGATGTTTGTGTCAGGTACGTGGCTCTGTACAGACATACCTGGGAGAGTGAGAGTCCTGAAATAGTAACCAGGCAAAAACCCATGACTAGCAGGTGTTAGAGGAAGAGAAGGACCATCTCAGGCTTGGCCAAATAATCTAGTGCAGAGGTATCAAAAGATGCTTCTTGGAGGCTGGATCCAGCCCACGAAGTGTATTGTCCAGCCTGATGCATGCAACATGTAGTAACCCTGGCCCCACATGCTGCAGAGCTGGAGCTGCACATTACAAGCAACATGCATGGCTACACCAGGGTACGTACTGCCTGAAGCACCCTCACCAGACCAGCCCTGTTGGCTAAATTGGGCATGTGGGGCCAGTCTGTAGACCTGATCTGGCCAGCAGACCAGCTCTGTGCCCCTCATCCAGCCCACAGGGCCAGATGACTTTGACCTCCCTGGCCTAGTGATTAGGGTACTGCCTTTCAGCAGCCTGTATGCTGTGTATCTGACTTAACTTCCATCTTTTCACTAATCTGCCCAGTGCTGCTGTGTCTAACCTAAACGCGTGTGCTTATGGTTTACTGCCTTATTAATATCTTTGTACTGTTCCACTCCATTTTGGTCTGAAATAGCAGCAGTCATGAATGTAAAACCTTACTAAACTTTCTCTTTCTTCTCTTTCTTTATGGTTCAGGCTTGCAGCACGATGTTGTTGAGTTTTACTTTTCATGCCATTATGCAAATGGTATAATAGAGTTAAATGGTCATTAGAAACCAAATGTGGGGGACAAAAGAGAGGATAGAGACTAAAGACAGTGATAACAGAAAGGGATAGAGAATTCCTGGATAGATAGGAAGATGAGACAAAAGGGAATGAGTCAAAAGCATGATAGAAGTATTAGCAGAGTTCATGTAGCTCGATTTATCTTCATAATATTGATGTCACTTAGAAAGTAATGATTATTTTTTAACAATGTAGTTTTACATACATGAGTTGCCAGAACTAAAGAACCCTGTTTAATGCTGTTTGCTTGCTTCTGTCAAGATCAAATGCAAATTTTTTTATAGATCCTAAACAGTCACATGATTAGAGTTTGAGTAATTTTATATTTTCCATTATATTTTTAATTTTATATTTTCCTGTAAAAAGTGTTTAATACTTGAAAATTTTAGTTTTGTGGGGCGTCTGGCAGTAGTGTGTTATTCGTGCTCATAGTGGTGCTCTAAGCCAGGTGAAAAAATAAATGCTTTTCATGTCTTAAAACCTTAGCTATTCACTTCTCAAAGATAGCTACATTTTAAATAATGACTTGCTTACAGCATGAGTATGAATAACACAGTTGCATAACAGCCATTCAATCTCATGTCAGATCAATAGTCCATAAGGGTATAAATAGATAAATAGCTATCTCTACATGAATTTCTTAATACTTCTGGCATTTGATCTGCTTCTGTTCCACTGGTATCAAACTCAAAAATGAGGCAGTGAAGCCTCACTCTGCCTGTCTTCAGTCCCTTTTCCCCAATGCAGTATTGCCAACTTCACGATGTCAAAAATCATGAGACAAACTCTTAAAAAATCAAGAGGTTTGGAATGTAAATCATGAGATGCTATTTTTGAAGTGTGTGTCTGTGTGTGAGGTTATCTATGAAGGAGTAGGGGGTTGTGGACATGTGTGGGGTTTGGAGCTTGGGGAAGAGGGATCCCTGCACACCCGGGCAGGATGTGGAGTACTGTGTCAAGAGTGAGGGGCAGCAGCAGGGCTGGGGGGGGCTGTGGCTTGGGAGTGAGGGGCAGATGTGCGCGCGCGCACACACAGATGGCTGCCCAAAGCTCTGTTGTGTGACCTGCCCCAGTCCCGAGGCCCCAGTCATGGGTGTCCGGTGCCTCTTGATTCAAGCGGGGGCGGGGATGTGCAGACACCAGTCAGCAACTGGGTGGGGGTCCCCCGGCGGCCAATCCCGCTGGCTGGAGGTCATCCCCCCAAGAGCTGATCTCACTCACTGTAAAAGTTTCCATGCTGCTTCCGGAAGTGGCACAGACGCTTCTGCTGGTGGACCTGCTCCCCAGCCAGTGCTCGCAGAGTGGGGCACTGGTGCTCCTGCCTGCCTCCCTCCCTGATGGCTAAACAGGGAGTGCAACCTGACGGGGTGCGCATGCACCCCCTATGCATTGCCCATGGCCCCATTCACCCCTGCCCCACTTCCTCCCTCACCAGGGGGGCCTTGATCTGCCCCTTCCCTCCCCTTCTCTTTCCCCCTGCCCCTTCCTCTCCACAGGGTTACCAGCTTGGCACACACTACATGTACCAGAAGAAAAAAATCCTGAGATTTGATCTCTATCAGGAGATCATGAGTCAGAGTTAGTTTGACTTAGAAATCAGGAGTCTCGTGATCTTTTTCATGACAGTTGGCATTACTGCCAGTGTCACTCTTAAGATCTCTCTTTGGTATCCTGGACAGCAGCAACAGCATGTGCCCCCTCACTTCCAAGTTTCATGCATGCAGGTAGGAGCAGGTGAGCCAGGGATACTTGAGAGCAATATTATTCTGCAGCACTGGGGACAGTGTCTAATGTCCCAGCCCTGCACCCTCTTTTCCTTTATTTCTGTTGTATGCAATTTTTTATTTGTATCTAGCATGAAAACTACTTAATAGATATTACTAAGACTTGTGGGAGGACTGTCAAACCTTTCTTTTTCTCCCTTTTTAGCTGTTCCGGTGGAAATGGCCAAACAAAATCCAAATGTTGCTATTGTTCTTACCTCCTGTGGAGGCCATATTGGTTTTCTGGAAGGAATGTGGCCAAGGAATTGCACTTATATGGACAGAGTCTTCAAGCAGTTTGTGCGAGCTATTTTTGAGCATGGGAAACAAATCATTAGCATGTAGCTTTGGACCACTATTTTAGCACATTCTGAAAAGGGCAGCTCAGACTAATGCACAAGTTTTAACTACTGTAAGCCAGCAAAATGGATGAAGTCCATTACTTTCCGCAAAAAATACATTTGCCTAAAATTTTGTAGCAAGAATTTTACATGTTATGTTGTCACTTTTGTATTTATAATATGCCTTACTAAGAATGACCTTAAATAAAACAGCACTCTGCGTACATCCAACTGCACTTAACCAAAATCATTAAGTAATAGATAATAATTCCTCAGGGTTTTTATTTAAGCCAGTGCATTTTAGGAGACTTGATTTATAATATAAAAACTGTAACTTCTAAAATTAAATCATTTTTGTTGTTTATTACAAATTGGTGAGAATAATGAAATATAAGAAGAAGAGGAGGAATGCAAAAACAGCACTGTTTCTTCAAGTAATCTTTACATTTAAGAATGGATTACAACCGAATTAGACTGATACTGTATCTATTGTTTACCCTGAGAGAATTACAGATTTAGGACTAGTTATAATGGTAATGCTGTATGTCTCGCACAATTATTTCTATTGTTAACTAATTTATAGTATTTCTATATTACGAAAAGGTTCTGTTGAAGCAATGCATAATAAACTGTCATTTAAAAAAATTGTTTTGCATTTAAGTATCTATTTAATCTTATGTAGAATTGTATATACAATGCATATATTTCACAGAAGTATGGTAAAGAAACATAAAATACAGAATCGCACATTTGTTTACTACTTTGCAGGATTGGGTTTTTAAAAATAAATGTTAGGAACGTAGGGTGCAGTCTACTTTAAATAATTCATATTTCCATTTGTTGTAAATAGTATATACAATTAATATAACAGAAAAGGAGGCGAGAAATTTTTTTTCAGCTCATTTGTTCTGTGCACTTGTTAAAGACTTGACAAAATGTTTGTAGCCTCTTGTGTCCTGTGTCTGTTCAAGTGACAAAAGAATGGTATGAAACTTGTGTACAACATCATTTTCCTTCCAGCTTCCACAATACTGTTGTTGCAAAGAGGGGGTTAAAATGAACTGAACACAATTTAGAGTCCAAGACTGTTGCAAAGTCCTAATCTAGTGCTCACTGAAGCAAATGCATGTCATACCAGGTCAGGGAGCTGCAAACTACTCTTGCACTTTTTCTTTTTTTTGGCACTGCACCAAGAACAGCTCAGACCAGAAACTCATGTACAGCTAGCTACTCCTTGCTTAACGTCATAGTTACACTCTTGAAAAATGTGACTTTAAGCAAAACGATGTTAAATGAATCCAATTATGTTACAGTAGTTATCTACTAGCAGATGGCAGCCAAACAATGTTATAACCAAACGTTGTGCTACTTTAAAAGAGTATGTTCTCTGACTTTAACTTTATTAATTCTCACTTCTGTTTTTATAAACAAAGCATGGCATATAAGTGTGGCTAGGTATGATTCAGAACTTCATAGTTAAACATTTTTAAAAGTACTTTTATTAAAGAAATTTTTATAGTTCAATGCAAAGTTGCCTGAATAATGACAGGTTTACTGTCTCTCCTTTTAGTGTGTAAGTGAAATAAGTCTTGATTCTGAAATTGCTTAAATCAGTGCAAATATTTACCAGTTTAAAACTGAACATAACCTCAATCAAGCATTTGTAGGAGTGGGGTTTTAAACTGTAACTTAAATATATCTGTTTTAACACACACACTTCTACAGACCAACTTAAAATTCAATGCTTTGTGCAGTTTTCTTTTCCAACATGTATTACACTCTTCTCCAAATGCAGTGTACTGAATTGACTAGGATAGACCAATAAATACCAGCTTCAGCAATTTTCTCTCTTTAACATCCCTCAGACAGATTACATGAAACAATACAGTATATGAATAACTAGAAATACTAGTGACTTACATGGTTATTAATGGAAACTGTCAGAACCCTGGGGCCTAGTTTGCTGTTTCTTATATATGATATCCTATTTATTAGTAGGGGTCTACCAAACTTAAGGAGCAGCAGGCAGAGGGACCCCCAGCACGTGCCCTGGCAGACCTGGAAGTACTTCCAGTCCATTTCAGGTTTACTGCTGAGCACATGGAGGGCCCTCCCGCACTCCTGTGGGATGCTCCATGCGCCCCAGAATTGTAGCAATCACTGGCCGTGCCTGCTACCTCAAAGTATATAGAAAAACCTTTCAAAGCTGTGTCTATGTCCGAATCGCTGATTTTCCAAATTGGCATTGAATCTTCAGATTCGGCCGAATCGGGGCAGTGATCCAAATCAACGAATTGAATCGCTGTCCCTGATTTGGGCCAAATCTGAATCAAATAGGGCCCGCTTTGCACACCCCTAACAGGGAGTTCAGGGTAGCTGTTAAATGCAAGTATGCTGCACCCAGCCACAGTTGCTGCACAGCATTCTCTTTCTCTGTGGGTGAACACTTGCTCATACACTCGAGATGGCACGCTCAGTGTCCACTGAGTTTGTTGGAATGGTGAGGCAGTATCTTGCTAGTGTGTAGAGATGTGGAAACAGGTTGCAGAGTCCTTGAACACAGGCACAAGCATCCGGCATGCTTTGACAAAGTTCATGTAAGCAGCATGTTCATTGTCATGCTTCGCCATCCCAGGATCGCCTTCAGTACCTGATGGTGACAACTCAGAACAGGCACCTGGTTGGGACCTAAAATGCCAACAGTGCTAAGGAAGATGGCAGCTGGTTGTCTACACCGTGGTGGAAGTGATGGGTCACGTGTGGTACTGGTTCAGCTTCACAGCTATTGCTTGGAACAGTTCCTGTCTCCAATGGTTTCATTGCATCTTGACAGTTCCTGCAATGCCCTGTCTTTGACCCAGCTTATAAAATCTATCAGTTTGTGTGCATGGTGAACCACAGCCTGCTGGCCTTCAGAACATGTTAGGAGCTCCATGAGCTGGGTAGCAGTCAGTCACAAATGTGACTTGATCTTAAATGTTGCCCTACCTTAAAAGATTAGAAAGCTTGCACTAGCAAGATGGTGGGGAGGTTTTCAGCTCCTCAGTCACAAACTGCTGATAGTGCTGCATATGCTTGGCATGGTAACAGACTGCATTGAGCCATAATTCCACCGTGTGAGCACAGGCTCTGGTGGCAGCAGCATAGTGTCATGTGCATCCCCCCCTTTGTCATGTGCATCCCCATCAGGCTCCCATGCATCTCAGGCAGGCTTCAGGGGGGGAACAAAAAGATCAGGCTTGCTGCTTTTTTTTTTTTCCCCTTCTGTGGAGCCTGCCTGCATGGTCTGCCTGCACAGCCCCTGAGCCGCACAGAGCCCAGTGCTTTCCTCTGTGGCTGTAGGGTAGGAAACCAAGGTCTGACCTATCATGTTACCTTCTACAGAGTTTCCCTACTTAGGGTAAATAGATTTTCTTAAATCCTTCAGCTTGCTCATTTCTCTGCACACACCATGTTCACAATAAAAAGAAGGGCAATGCGCTCTGAATTTACATAGTTAACTTGAATTATGAAGCTTAACCTCATCCAGGAGGTTTATGAACCACTTGGTAATGGTAGATATAATAATAAAGGTAATATAAATATAATAGATGTAAAGTCATAATGGATTACAGTGAGTTAAAGAGGAGCATCTACAGCAGGGGTCAGCAACCTAAGGCACACATGCTGAAGGTGGTAGGCAGCATGGTTTTTATTGGCATGCAGGCTGCTTCCCACCCCAAGGGGGGTGGTAAGAGGCGTGCCCAGACTGAGTAGCACGTGACTGCCTGGGAACAGCCTTGTGCTGCTGCCAGCCCCAGAACAACCTGACTACGCCACCGACCCCAGCCAGGTAAGAGCCCCTGGCCCCACCCACGCTCCTAGCCCAGCACCACCACCAGCCCCACCGTGGGTACCAGCCCAGTGCCAGCACTGGGCCTGGGCCATTGGCAGTGCTGGGATGAGACTTGGGCCCAGGCCCATCCCAGCGCTGCTGATAGGCCCAGCCTTGGCTGGCACCACCACTGCTGCCACCCACCCCAGCCCAGTGTTGCTGCTGGTGGGCCCTGGCCTCAGCCCCATGTTGCCAATAGGCCCTGGCCCCAGCCCTGTGCTGCTGGTGGGCCCTGGCCCCAATATTTACTTCACATACAACAATAGTTTAATTATATATAGAGAGACCTTATAACACTAATATGCAGTGTGTCCTGCTATGTACTTCTCCACCCTTGTTTTGTTTTTCTGATATGCCAGCACTCCAGCACCTTTCAAGGTAGACATTGTGTTTTTTTCCGCACTCCAGCCAAAAAATGTTGCCTACCTCTGATCTACAGAGAGTTATAAATAACTTATCCTGCAATCAGAATAAAAAATGCAGCTACTGAAAATTTCTGTGTGTCCAGGACAAGCTGTGCTTCACTGAAGCAAGGTTGGAAAAAGTATCATATAAAAGTAAGGTAGGTTACACATTTCAGTGTCACTGTGAGGACAAACACGAATGTACAGGCACAGCAAAACATCTTGTGGTTGAGGGGAGATGAGCCATACTCTCCACGATTAGCTCCATGTAAGGATCTACCTTCCAGCAGCAAGCTATGCAAATGGGGTGGCAGAGGGATAGGTCTAATTTAGTGCATTACCTGAATCTAGCAGCTTATTTTATATGGGGAAAAAATACCAACATAACTGCATTTTATGGGTTAGTATCCTGTGTGTCACAGTGGCAGACTGGATGCTGAAAGGGAGAGTGGACAGGATTTTTTCCACTGTTCCTCTCACTTGCAGCCTTCAGCATTTAAAGTTTAGGAAGTTCTGATTCAGAGTCTGTACCCTTAACTTCTGTGCTCAGTAGCTAATGATGTCCCCTTTTGCCAACAATTAGTCCAATTTCTTTTTGAATCTGGCTAAACGGTCAGCTTCCACAACACCTGCTGGTGGCAGTGCATTCCACACTTTAATGACACACTGTGTGAAAACCAGGTGGATTAATGCATGGGCCAATGGGTCCCTCTGGAAATAGTGGATTTTCCCTTGCAGGCAGGCATTATTCCAGCCTGCAAAGGGTCCTGCTTGGGGCTGCCAGGAGATGCAGGAGCAGTGTCAGCCTCAGCCAGGAGCACCATGCCTCTGCGGGTTGCAGGTGGGAGGGGTGCAGGCAGTAGCGGTACTGGGAAGGGGGCCAAATAGGGGAGTCAGCGCCTCATATTTTGTGTATTTACATTTTATGTTTGTGAGCTTGTATTTTAATAAGAGTTTTATATTGCCTGATCTTTACCTTTTGGTCTGGTTTACTTACCCTCCCCACTCAGGATACAGGTAAAGGAGTGTACATATATTGAATATAGTTCTATGTTTTGTGTATATATCTATATATATCTATTTCTTCCTATGGTTATTGTATTAATAAGTTTATATATAAGTTCACAGTGTCCTGGGTTGGCTCTATAGGGGAAGGAGGGAAACTGTACTTAGCCTGCAGTTTCCACCCATAACACACCTGCCCTGCTAACAATCCCCTTCAACTGGAGAAGGGAGTACATACCCAAGTACACCCAGGCTACATGTGTTTGCCCAGGGCCCCAATAAACCTTAATCCACCTCTGGTGAAAATCTTCCATGTGTTAGGTTTAAACTTACTACTTACTAGTTTCATTTTGTGACCCCCGCCCCCTC